GGCCGCAAAGGACCCGGGACAGCCAGGGTCGGGGTGGGATTGCCTCTGCGCTCCCATGGAGACATGACTTTTCTAAGCTGCTCAGTCTTGCTTCCTTGGCATCCCGGGACATACCCTTCTCTTCACACTCAGCTTGGGAAACGTAAGTCCCTCTTCCTCTGCAGCGAGACCCACCAGGAGGAGGGGGCCCGCAAAGGACCGGGGACAGCCAGGGTCGGGGTGGGATTGCCTCTACGCTCCCATGGAGACATGACTTTTCTAAGCTGCTCAGTCTTGCTTCCTTGGCATCCCGGGACATACCCTTCTCTTCACACTCAGCTTGGGAAACGTAAGTCCCTCTTCCTCCGCAGTGAGCAGTCGCAATACTGAGTTATCTTCTTCATTTTACTGCCCATGTCCTTCCCCCAGAGAAGGCTGGTGCTTGCTTATAAGACTCCTAGAACTCTTGCGATCAATATGTTTCTAGAAGCATCTTGTATTTTATGCACCTTCCTACATTTAGGGGCGGAAATTCTAGCAATTCATCACTATGCAATAAATGATTTGTGAAAAACCTAGTGGAAAGGGAGCTCGTGGGAGATTCACTATTGCGGGTCAGTGTCCCCAAGCTAGTGACTCCAGGATAACTGATCCCTCATCCAGCCATGCTGGTAGGTCTGGAGGTCCCCCCCCGCCCCCCACCATGGTCTTCTGAGCCTTCGCAATCTAGGAGGCAGGACTGTCTCAGGTGTCCTGGGGGAACTGTGGCTGATACCCTGGCTCTGTTTTGATGATTTGTTTATACCGCCAACAGGGAGACAAGAGCAGGATGGGTGAGGGAACTCTTAAATAAGCATCACGTCTTAATTTGGCACTGCTCACCCCTTAACTAGATTGTTTCCCACCGAGCTCGCCAATTTGATTGAATTTTCACCCCATTTGTTTTGTATCCTTTAAGAGCAAACCATGCGACTGGGCAATTAAGCTCTCTGGACCTTAGTTTTTCCATCTGTAAGTGGGCTCTAGAAATTCTTCTCCTGGGGAAAGTTAAATAGAGCGTGAAGAGCCCCAGGGACGTGCACAGAAAAGGGAAAGGGGAAGAAGCCAGGGCAACTCTAACAGACTGAATATTCAAGACTCAAGTCATCTCAACTTCACAGCGCTCAGATCTGGGGTGTGAGAGAGAGATCTTTATCTTAGTCTAGGAAGAGAGACTTGGGCCATTCAGGAGAATCAAGGTGCTTGGATCCTGAATTACTGAGTCACTAATCAAGTGGCTGTGTTAGTAACAACTGCAGAAGCTGGAGGGAGGGGCAGGGAAGGGAGCATCGAGGAGAAGGTGTGGGGGAGGAGATGTGCATGAAAGGCAAGCATTTACAGCATGTGGTGCACAGCAAAGAGCAACAAGGAACATCAAGGGCACCGAATAAAGGTCCGGGGAACAAGGAAGAGATGGCGAAAATTCATCCTGCTGGAAATAGACATGACTGCAGTCATGAAGAGGACTCCCGAATTCAGGATGACCTGATTTGATTATGGCAACAGGAAGAGCAGGAGAGGGCAGAATAATCCGACCTGAGGAAGTGAACTGAATAATAGAGAAGACATCATAGTTGCTATGGCATTAAAATACCTCGCATCACATTAAGCTTCTTTTTTTCTCTTTTGCTTGATTCTTGTTCTTGCAACATGTTAATGTCATTGCAGTATATCCAGTAAACTAAATTTAGATCTTCTGGGGCATGGGGGAAGGGAAGAGGCAGCCCAGCTCTCCCTATTTGGGTCCACTCTGGGCAAGAATTCTTCCTGTGCAGCGTGCCTGGTTCTTGTGGTCCTTGCGTGGTGGGATATGAAAATCCGTGTCGGGCTTGGGTCTGGTGAAGCTGCTGAGTGACATAATTTGAAAATAAAGAAAGAAAGAAAAGCGGGAAACAGTTTTCAAAGAGGCACCTGCTTTAGAAATTACTTCGGAAAAATCAGTAGGATGCCGAAATTTGAAAAACACCATTACCGTCAAAACCAAATGCATTTTCCAAAGTATTATTTGCTTTTACTGCTTTATAAATTATTTAACCTGGTTATAATTCAGACTTTTAGGTTCTGCCATCATTCATATGCAAATGAGACCATGGGTGGGGGTGGGTATGTTGTACATTCTATTGACATTACTGTATACTGAGTGAATAGAAGGGTATTTCCAGCTGACTTAT